TAAATTGCCCAAAGTGGTGAAGAAAGATTTGAACATAGGCTATGGGATTCCTAACTACCTGATAATTACATCGAAAACTGATTTGTAATGTTTGATCTTTTTCCCATTTGCCAGTTGTTAAATCTCTTACTATCTTACTAATGTTGCAGAGACTAAAATGTCCATTATGACCTTGAACAAGTAACCTTATTTTTGACCTTTAGTAACATTATTTTTAAATGAAAGTTTTAGATATTTAGGTGTAAGGACTACCAGATGGTCTTAAAAGTATTGGAATTCTCTGGTTTTATAATACTACAGGATATCAATTATTTTAATACTCAGTTTATACAACTCAATTATTGAATCTGTCTACATATTACTGTTTTTCCATCACGTTGGTGTATGATTTCAAATAATATAAAGCTTTATAGGTTACCATTAGCTACTGTCACAACAAAGTATTAGTATATTATATCATCTTATGGTAATGCCAAATTAAGTTAATAAAATTTATTTGAGCCACAATGAATCATTAAATACAGAGAGCCTAAAATACAGTCCAGTGATTACAGATTTTGCAAGTAAGAAATTGTGCCTCAAAGTGAAACCATGATACTTATAAAACTCTATAAACCCCCCTTTCAAAATCTGATGGAAAGATTTCTTTTCCCAGAATTGTCTTGTGAAATATTTTCTAATTAAGGGAATTATTGTATTAGTCTGTTTCAAATGAATTATTTTCCCATGGAAGTAGGTGAAACCAAGGGCAAAGTGATATTTGTTCTCCAGAGCTGGGGCCCGTCTCCCCACCACCCTCTCCTGGGGGTGGAAAAGCAGAGAGAGGAGATCTGTTCCATTGTTCAATGCTTTGTGAAAGCCCCATGGCACATGAGTGAGAAAACTGTGAAACACAATTTTGGAACCTCTCGTTCATTCTCAGCAATTACTACCAGTACTATTTGCCCCACTTACCTTTTAAGAACAGATAACTTTTCCACATTATTACTATTGCTCCCCACCACTCCCATATGAAAATACATTTCCTGAAAGGTTAAAAGTATAAAGTTTTGAAACTAACAAAATGTTTCATGTATCAAACACTTGTGTGGGTCATGTGAAGATCTTAGTTAAGTTGCAACAACATGAAATAATCTTCCAGTTCCTTTGGACATGGTTTCTTCTCATTCATTCCATATCAGAGAAGCAAAGTGATTTTACTACTGCTTTTCCTTCCCTTCCCTCTCCCTTCTGATTCACTGCAATTGGCCCACAGGATAAGAGGGCAGGAAGCAAAGAATCAGAAATGAGAAAGATTTTATGTACTTTCTTTTTCACATATCAAGACTATAATTCTGAAGCCATCATATATAGAGATTGAATTAGTCAGGATTCTATAGAGATAGAGAACCAATGGGATATATACAGACACATATAATAAAAAAGGATTTATTATGGGAATTGACTCATACAATTAGGGAAAGCCAAGAAGTCCCATGATGTGCTGTTCTGCCAGCTGGAGAACCAGGAAAGCTGGTGGTGTAATTTAGTCTAAGTCCAAATATATGAGAATCACAGGAGACAATGGTGGTACACTCAGCTCAAAGCCAAAGACCTGATAATTGAGAAAGGCTGATAGTGTAAGTTCCAAAGTCCAAAAACTCAAGAATCAGGAGTTCCAGTGTCCAAGGACAAGTGAAGGTGAATGTTCCAGCTCAAAAAGAGAAAGCAGATTTGCCCTTTCTCCACCATTTTGTCCTATTCCATCCTTCAACAGATTGGGTGATGCCTACCCACAGTCTACCAATTAATGTCATCAATCTCTTCTGAAAACACTCTCACAAGCACGCCTAGACATAACGCTTTACCAGCTATCTGGGCATCCCTTCGCGCAGCTGAGGTGACATGCGAAATTAACCAGTACAAATCTATCTCATGGATCAGTCTGATTCTTGAATGCTGGCTTTCTACTGCTCCTTTTCCTAGCTGTTTGGCCCCAGGCAAGATTTTTTAACATCTCTAAGTCTCAGCTTCCTTATTTGTGAAAAAGAAATAATTATAGAACCCTCATGGGTTTGACTAGCACAATGTCTGGCACAGACGTCATAGATATTACTAATTAATTTGCTTAATGTTTTCATTGCCATCAATGCCATGATGCCATGGTATTCTGCATCATTGTCCATTTGATTTCTTTTGAGTATATTAGAGTGATTTTGATTAAAGAGGTTTGTCTAGAAAGGCAGTTACCCTCAATAAGGAATTAATCTTAAAGACCTGCCTGGTATTAGCACTGTAACATAATATCTGTATTAATTTCCTCAGCCTGGCAAAAACAAAGTATCACAAACTAAGTGACTTAAAGTCTTTTTTTTTTTTGCAGTTATAGAGGCTAGACATTTGAAGAAACCACCCCCTGATTAAATTATCTCCTACCGGCTCCATTCCACAACACATGGGAAATACGGGAGCTGTAATTCAAGACGAGATTTGGGTGGGGACACAGCCAAACCATATCATACTGTCCCTGGCCCCTCCCAAATCTCATGTTCTCACATTTCAAAACCAATCACACCTTCCTAACAGTCCCCCAAAGTCTTAAATATTTCAGCATTAACTCAAAAGTCCACAGTCAAAAGTCTCATCTGAGACGGGGCAAGTCCCTTCTGCCTATGAGCCTATAAAATAAAAAGCAAGTTACTTACTTCCTAGATACAATGGGGGTACAGGCATTGGACAAATATACCCATTCCAAATGGGAGAAATGAGCCAAAACAAAGAGACTAAAGTGTCTGGACGGGGGGAGAGGACAAAGACGACTAAGATGGCGCATTTCTGGGTTCTTCATCACCAACTTACCCGAGCGCGGGAAAATGCAGCTGGCGCCTGGGAAAAATACAGACCAACTGCGCAGACGCAACATGGCGTCCGATGGAGGAAACCCAAACTTACCTGGCCGCACCTATGGAACGCCCCGGACACGCCCATGACCCGCCTATTGCCCGCCCACTCCCAAGCCTTAGACAGAAAAGCCGATCTGGGCAAGCGCGCCGGGCGTACTTCCTTGGTCCCTCCGCATGTGTGGACCTAGGAACCTCCGCGGAGAAGGCTGGAACGACTTCCTTGGCCTCCACCGCCGGAGACCAGTGACCCTCGCCCTTTCTTCCTTCACATTGGCTAGCTAATCAAGTTTCTTTTTTACCTTGCCTACTTGCCTTTTCTCTGGCGCCTGCTCTGGTGGTCGCATAAAACAAATCATAAAGGTCCCCTGCAAGTCTGAAATCCAGCAGGGCAGTCAAATCTTAAAGCTTCAAAATGATCTCCTTTGACTCCATGTCTCACATCCAGGTCACACTGATGCAAGAGGTGGGTTCTCACGCTCTTGAGCAGTTCCACCCCTGTGGCTTTGCCAGGTACAGCCTCCCTCTTGGCTGCTTTTACGGGCTGGCATTGAGTGCCTGTGGGTTTTCCAGGTGCATGGTGCAAGCTGTTGGTGGATTTACCCTTCTGGGGTCTGGAGGATGGCAGCTGTCTTCTCAGAGCTCCACTAGGCAGTGCCTCTGTGTGGGGACTTTAACCCCACATTTCCCTTCAGCACTGCCCTAGCAGAGGTTTACCATGAGGACCCCAGTCCTATAGCAAACTTCTGCCTAGACCTTCAGGCATTTCCAGAGATCCCCTGAAATCTAGGCAGAGATTTCCAAGCCTCCGTTCTTGACTTCTGTGCACCCGCGGGCTCAACACTAAGTGAAACCTGCTATGGCTTGTGGCTTGCACCCTCTGAAGCCACAGCACAATCTGTACCTTTGCCCCTTTTAGCCATGGCTGGAGTGACTGGGGCACAGGGCACCAAGTTCCTAGGCTGCACACCGTAGGGGAGCCCTGGGCCTGGCCCACGAAACCACTTTTATCTCCCAGGCCTCCAGGCCTGTGATGGGAGGGGCTGCCGTGGAGACATCTGACAAGCCCTGGAGACATTTTCCCTATTGTTTTGGTGATTAACATTTGGCTTCTCATTACCTGTGCAAATTTCTTCAGTCTGCTTGAGTTTCTCAAAAAATGGGTTTTTCTATTCTATTGCTTCATCAGGCTGCAACTTTTTCAAACTTTTATGCTCTGTTTCCCTTTTAAAACTGAATGACTTTTAACAGCACCCAAGTCACATCTTGAATGCTTTGGTTCTGAGAAATCTCTTCCACCAGATACCCTAAATCATCTCTAGGGCAGGGGGAGAATGTTGCCAATCTCTTTGCTAAAACATAGCAAAAGACACCTTTAATCCAGTTCTCAAAAAGTTCCTGATCTCCATCTGAGGCCACCTAAGCCTGGATTTCATTGTCCATATCATTATCAGCATGTTGGTCAAAGCTACTCAACAAGTCTCTAGGAAGTTCCAAACTTTCCCACATTTTCTTGTTTAACTCTGAGCCCTCCCAACTGTTCCAACCTCTGCCTATTACCCAGTTCCAAAGTTGCTTCCACATTTTTGGGCATCGTTACAGCAGTGCCCCACTCTACCAGTACCAATTTGCTGTATTAATCTGTTTTCACACTGCTGATAAAGACATACCCAAGACTGGGTAATGTATAAAGAAAAGCTCTTAAAATCATGTGTATTATAACAGGTATTGCAAATCTATTTTTAAATACTCTCTTAAATTTAGTCAAGCTGTATTCAGCAATTTAGGACCTTTCTCTTGGTCTTGTTGACTTCATTGTCAGTCTTCATATTTTGATTGATTCATTTGACAACTGGCTCTGATGCTATTTTGAAGCAAGTAAGGTAACAAGCCCTTATCAAGACTTTTACTATGCATATGACCATTTGTGGGGCAATTATATTCAATAAAACTAATTTTACCAATTCTTCTGTTTTGAGAAGGCTTGAAAATTTTTTCATATTTTCATATTTAAAATTCATGAGAACCAATTGTCTGGCAACCAAATATATACATGGTGCCCTGAAATATTGGGACTTTTTCGTGGAAATATTGTATCAACCTAAAATAAAAGACAGTGGCTTGCGAAATAAATGAGTTTAATCACCTTGGGATAGTTCGACATGGTGTGACTATAAATGTGATGCATGAAGAACACAGAATAATTCTCTAGTATTCTTGCCATGGACACATGGCTTAGGTCTGGTCATGAGGAAACAATGGATAGACCAAGTTTAGGGTCGTCTTATGGGATAAAAGTACTGTATTTTTTGGACTGTCAAGCGTATAAGAGTCAGGAAAACACAAAGAACTTTCTAGAAGGAAAGAAAGTGGTGAGACATGTTAAATAAAAGTAATGTGTGCTTGCGATAGGATTCTAGACTAGAAAGGAAAAGGAGCTACTATTAAGACAGATGGCAAAATGTGTATGGTTTCTGAGAACTAAATGGTTGTATTGTATCAGTGTTTATTTTCTGAACAGAGGAGTATATGGTAGTAACATAAGAATGTACCCTTGTTTTAGGTGAAAAGGAGTTATACCCTGCAGTATTTAAAGGTGATGGGTCAACACATACCTCTCTAAAGAAAGTAAAAAAAGAGAAATAGGGGAAATGCAGTAAAATTTAACAATTGAAGAACCTGTGTGAAGGGCATGCAAACATTCTTTGTACTTTTCTTACAATTTTTTCTGTAGGTTTGACAGTATTTCAAAATAAAAAAGTATATACAAAAATTTTTAATTATAAAAAAACAAAAAAAAACAAATAAATGAATACATTGTGGATTACCATCTGGAAAGACCCATGACATGGCATCCCATGGAAAGCCATAGGCATACCTAGGGAGGCACAGGAAGGCAAGGGTTTTTAAAGACAAAATGTGGAGGGTTACATAAGTTGTTTTGAGGTCATTATCCTTGGCTACAAGAATCCATGACAAGACTGGCGTCAGTCCAAGCTTGAAAAGGCAGTTGCTGGGCAGATGTCCTCGCAGAAGTATTCCTTGTGAAAGCTTATCATGGCCTTCATACGTGGTCGCGGTTTTGAAGAGTCTTTGTAGTGATTTTTATCATAGGTATGTGAGTGAGACAGCCCTCCATTCTAGCCTCCCAACTCCATTTTGTTAGAGTTTGGCATAAGTGACTTCGTTTTAAATCTGACGACTGTTGCATTTGTCCCTTTTGATCAAGGTCTTTCTCTAAAAGCATTGCTAATTCTGTAGTTAGATGTTGATTGTCTCTTAATGCTGGGATGGACCTGTCGTGATTGGTCTTGTTGCACACCACGGGGAAGAGATTGGCAACTAGGAGTCAGCGGCAAAACCCTCTTAGACACATTGGAGCAACAAGAGGGTTTGGAGAGAGTGGCTCTCAGGGTGAGTCTTCCTGGAGTTCATTGTTAAATTCAATTCTGTCCATTTTATAGATGTGGGAAGTGTTCCTTTGAAGGGCTGGATCAGCATTATTCTGTTTAGGAGGTGTGATTCTGTAGAAATTTTACAGGCAACAGGTACAAAGTTTTAAAAGAATCATGCAGAGTAAAAACAGCAATCTGGAAACCCCAGTTTATACAATTATTCTCCGCTGTGAACCTAAACCTGAAAGTAGTAGCCAACTAATCAATCAAAAGATAGTGGGGGAAAATTGGATTGAGGTAACCTAGAAGAATTCAAGATTCAGTCCAGATTGTAGGTAAATAATAAAAACTTGAAAACAATGAACAGGGGTACAACATGATAGCCAGTGTGATACAGTTTTTTTTGTTTTTGTTTTTTTGTTGTTTTTTTTTGAGATGGAGCCTCGCCCTGCTGTCACCCAGGCTGGAGTGTAGTGGTGCAGCTCACTGCAACCTCTGCCTCCCAGGTTCAAGCAATTTTCCTGCCTCAGTTTCCTGAGTAGCTGAGACTACAGGTGCCCGTCACCACATCCAGCTAATTTTTTGTATTTTTAGTAGAGATGGGGTTTCACCATATTGGCCAGGCTGATCTTGAACTCCTGACCTTGTGATCTACCCTCCTCGGCCTCCCAAAGTGCTGGGATTATAGGCATGAGTCACAGAAACATAATTGTTTTCTCTACAGTTACTCCTATTTTTACCAAAGATAAAGTAAGCCCAACTTGTTTATAACAAGTTTAGCTTCATCAGATTTGGCCTTATTTTTTATATAAGTGCACCAAGGATGTCAACTGACTACATAGGAATATGACCTAAAATCTCTCAAGGGCAGAAAGACAAACCAAGGCTGACTTTAGATTCTGCCTGTAGCACCCGCAGACAATTTAAATTCAGTATAAACTTCCATTCAAAACCTTGTTAATATAACCAATTGTATCTTGTTATAAGAAAAACAGATTTATTTTTCTTGTATAATTTGCACACAAAATTACATATATTAGTGAGAAATTTTAGCTTTTAGTAATCTAATTTCTAACACAAACCTAAAAAGTAAAGCAAATTTATGTTCTTTCTGCATTCTGCTTAGATTGAATTTATAGTTTTATGATCTTAAAAATATAGAAGAGACATATATAAACCCATCTGACCAGTAAACCCAGGTTAAAAAAATATATATGCAGAACAAATCTGGAGACATTCTATTTTCTTTTTATCACTAATTAAAAAACAGCTTATTTATCAAAGATCTACCCAAGTCCCAGGAACTTGAAATGTATTTAATGATCACATTTCTAGAAGCTTTAGGGATGCTCATTCATCTCTGAACCAATTTAAGCATTTTACAAATATTAGTATGAAAGACATTTAAGATTTTTCATTTGCTCAATTTTCAAATGTCAAAAACTATGCCAATAAGAAAAGTGGTCAGAAGAAGCAGGACATATAGTTCATAGGAATTTGAAAAACAAAAAGTGTTTTAGTTAACTGAGAAGCTCCCATGGGGGAAGCAGGAACCAATACAGAAACAGAGAGCGCTAAAAAAAAAATTACAGCCTAAATATCAGCTAACTTCTAATCAGAGATCTCTGAAAAACAAATTAATTTCAAATATCTTATCAGGTTTTAGCCAGAAGAAACAACTATTCCTGTAAGTATTAAACTTTTTTTAAAGCCAGTTCTTCTCATAGGTTCCAACAGAACAGTTGTTTGGAATGTGAGCTCTAAAAAAAAAAAGAAAAAAAAAAAAAAAAAAACTTTTAGATACAAAATTCCACATCTCCAAAGGTATACGTACTTCAATTTCAATTCAAAACCAATAGCCTTCCACGGCTTAACAATGGAAGAGGTGTCCCCAAGAAGGTGCAAAAGACAGTGCCTCTCAAGATCCAAAGTTTCTCCCACAGAGAGAGTACTCTCCTAAGAGAGAAAAGACCTTCATTACTAACGAGGCAACAAAAGTTGAGAAAATTAAGATAAATTATCCTTATGATAAATAATGCAAAAGACAGAAACAAACAACCAAACAAAAATCCAGAACTATTTCTGGGAGGCTGTGGATCAATAGTCAATGAGCACTCAAAACCAAATTTACAAAAGTCACAATTCCAAGAACAAATTATTACAAAATGCTTTTCTTTTCTGCCAATCCACATTTAGAAAAAACAAGTAAGAAGGGACAAAGAAATATCTTCCTCTCTCAACTATGCATTACAACTATAGATCAAAGAGAGCTCACCTTGATAAGGATTTCTACTTTCTGCTGGGTTTGTCATATCTCTCAGGATGCCACCTGCGGGCTCCAAAGTGAGTGTGTATCCCAGCCTTTAGGGTCTTAGCTGAGTCTAAGAATTCAATTAACATAAGATAATTTAACAAGAGAAATGCATAACACAAGTCTTACATAGCATGGAAGCCCACATAAGGAAATGAAGAAACAAAATAACAACTGCTATGAACTATGTTTTCTCTGATCACAGATTCAAGGATGAAACAGATTCTGCAAGAGAAAAGCCCCATGATGTGAAAAAAAAAAAATTACCACTCAAAATTCATAGAAAAGAAGTTGACAAATTGTTAGTCTTGGGTAACTTTGATTTGTAACATGTCAATGCAGCCTGAGAATTGCTCTCCATTCTGCGGTCCAAAGTCCCCCTCATAACTCCTAAATATTGGCAAAAGAAGAGTTGATGTTTTTCAAACTATTTCCCTACAAAACTCTAGAGTAATTGTGGAAGATGCAATATGGATTTTAATTCTTTATGGGCTCTAACTTGATATTTGTGTGTTAAGAATGGACAATTTTGTGTCTGCACAAAAGTCATCTCACTGGGTCAGCTCCAAAACTTCTTGGTAATATCAATAACGCTTTCATTAAAATTATGCAACATGTATTAGGCGCTTGGTATGTGCTAGACAATGTTCTAGTGCTTTATAACTATTCATCATTTAATCCTTAAAATAATTTCACGAGATAGGTATTATTATCTTCATTTTATAGATAGGCAACCTGAGCCTCCTGAACCCAAGCATTCTGGCTCCAGAATCTGTGTAAGTTTAAATACTACGTTATCTGCCTCTCAGAATCATTTTTCACAGCATGGATACATTTACAATATCCAATAGGCACACACAGTGGCTGATCTCAGCTGAAACCCTCCAAAAGTTCCCGTTCCATTGTAATGAATGACCTCTATGTGCCCCTGTAGAGAGCCAAACCTCTTCTTATTCCTTGGATCTAATTTTCCTGAACTCACTCAGAGGTCTTGTTCCTCTAATTTTCCTCTCACATATTGTCATTTTCTCATACTCATATCAAATATTGTCACCTGCTCACTCTCTAATTTCTCCTTATTTTCATGGAAAATATTGCTATCTAAAATGTAATTATATAATGACATTTATCAGCTTGCTTATTGTTTGCCTCCTTCAGTAGATTATAACCTCCATAAAACAAGGCTTCTTGCTCAGTTATTCCCTGGGTGTCTAAAACACTGTCTTGCATACACTCGAAGAAAAATAAACATTTTAGAATAAATTACCAAATGAGGAAACAAATGAATAGATCCTGCTATTGTTTCCACATCTTTTCATCACTATAAGCAAAATCATCTGAAATAAGCCCTGGCTTGTATTAAACACATTTTTTGCACCCTGCATATAACATTTTTATTTTAATGTATGTTTGTATATTCTATTAGTTTATTAGACACCGTAACAGCTCTCTATGCCTATTACTATTTAACATACATGAACCATCAACTCTATTATATTATTCCACTTGTCCCTATGAATTTGTCACATATGCCCAAATAGTCAGATCCAGGCTCTCCAATGTCTCCTGCAACCAATTGAACAACACCCTGGTTTCCTTGCTCTCTTTCCATTATCTTTGAAACCACTTTACATTCAGGTTTTATTAGCTACATTGGTGTAAGCCCAAAGGTTTGTAATAAACAAATTCACAAATCTATGATGTACTATGCCTTTTAAAAAAATCTCACTATTCTTAACCTCTCAAACCTGCTTAACAATTATATACATCTCTAAATGTAGCTTTGTGCCCCTTTCCTCCTCAGACTACAAAAGCAATTATGCTTTTAAAACTCTACGGCAAAAAAAATAATCACAGTAAACAGAATGAAATGTCATTCTGAATGGCAAGCTCTTCCAAAGCTGCCAGGAGAGAGCTTTTGAAGACATCAGTATTCACAAGACGAACCCCAATTTGCTGAGTCCTCCAACAGGTTGCATAGTTCTCCCCACCACGTTGACAAATGCAATTGTTGAGGCTGCTGTGCAATAATAATGAAAGCATGAAAAGAGGCTGAGAGAAGGCTGTATTGATAGTATTTGGAATGTATTGCCTTCCAATAAAAATAATCTCTGGCTCTGCCTGCAAAGTCACAGCTGACAAAATCATGTTGCCCCATATGGCTTTACTCTGTGAAGCCTCATTGAGTGTCATCCCAAGAGTGGTGGAGAGTGTTCTGCCTTTCTCTCCTGCTCTACAGAAAAATGGTGTCATGATTTATAAGGAAAGATGTGCCTGTCTATTACTTTGGATCTGTTCAAGAGTCATTTAGAAAATATCAGGACAGCAAAGCATCCGTGCACTAGGCAGAAGCATCTGGGGTATTTCTTTTAAACTTGTGTTTCCACTTGAAAGGAAAGCATTGTTTCTATACACTGTCTCTTTCTCTCTCTCATAGGAGAGTCAGTAACAGGACATCAGGACTCTGAATGTCAGGGTGCTCATAAATGGAGCCCAGCAAGGAGAAGATTCCATCCCTCCCCAGTCCAGCAGGTTCTAGACTCAAATGATAGGGAAAGGCTAATGTGAAGCATGAAAAACAGAGACACTCATCTGCCACCCATTAAGTGGCAGTGAAGCCCTGAAGATGAGTTCAGGCTGCCAAGAGCATTGGACTTGGCTTTTCTCTTCCCAGAAGTGTTCACACCTTGAAGGTGAGAATTTGTTTACAAAATGAATATGGCTTCCCTCTCTAAACATCTTCTTGTGCTGTACTCACCCTTCTTCTTGTGATTGAGAAAGGAATGGCGCTGGGTGGTCGCAGGAGGATGAAAAAACCCAAACAGCTGAAACAAGAACCAGGCAAAGAAATCACGGAGTAACAGAAAACCCAAAATAAGGGAGAGAAAATGACCAACACTTCAGTTAAGGTGACATGTCCATGACCCTTCAGGCAAACCCAAGTAAGAAAGAAAGGCGGCGGTAACCATGGTCTTCATCATCCCCTCCTTTTGCAGAATACCTAATTATTTAGGTATTCTTCAATACTGACCATGTGGCAACTCACTACTGCAACTCCAGAAGAGAAAGAAACACGCTCACTCTTATTCAGGCAGTGACGCGACTCACTCAATATTCCAGTTCTCAGAAGTATTCAATGATTGAAATACATATCTTCAGGAACCAGTGCAGCGACTTTCATCCTATGTTCCCCAGGGATCGAGGGTCCAGGAGGCTTCCTCCTAGGCTGCCTTAGGGACAGGAGGTCATCACAAATGTATGACTCAGGAGGCTCCTTTGTTCCAACTCTCTCTCAGCAGTCCTGTTTTATATAGTTTACATATTGGGGCTCTGGAGTATAGTGGTCCCCCCTTGTCCATGGTTTCACTTGCCATGGTTTCTGTTACCATCTGTCAACCATGGCTCAAAAATATTAAATGGAATAATCCAGAAACAAACAATTCATAAACATTAAGTTGTGATTGTACCGAGTAGCATAATGAAATCTCGCTCTGCTCTGCTGCGTCCTACCCAGGATGTGACTCATTGCTTCGTCCAGTGTCCCACATCACACATGCTCCTGCCCATGAGTCCCTTAATAGCCATCTGGGTGATCAGATCAACTGACAAGCCATCACACTGCTTGTGTTCAAGTTACTCTTATTTTACTTCATAATGGACCCAAAGCTGAAGAGTAGTGATGCTGGCAATTTGGAGATGCCAAAGAGAAGCTGTAAAATGCTCCCTTTAAGTGAAAAGGTGAGAGTTCTTGACTTAATAAGAAACGAAAATTCTGTGCTGAGGTTGCTAAGATCTACAGTAAGAATGAATCTTCTACCTATGAAGTTGTGAGGAAGGAAAAAGAAGTTTGTGCTAGTTTTGTTGTAGCACCTCAACCCGGAAAAGTTTTGGCCAGGGTGTGTGCTAAGTGCTTAAGATGGAAAAGGGATTCAATTTGTGGATGCACAGAAAACGTGCTTCAATTGACAGCAACGTTTTGCACTGAAAAGCATTGAACCTGAACGAAGATTTCAGCAGGAAATTCCCTGAAAGGAGGGATGCCTTTGACTGCAAGTGAAGATGGTTACATGGATTCAGGAATAGGGAAGGTAGGTCACTGGTAGCCCAATGTCTGCATCATTCACCTGGCTTCTTCTCATCATGTAAGCATTGCACCATCTCACATCAACAGGTTGCCAGAGGGCTCACAAGGGTCTCCAGATGCCAGGGACACCCCGGCCCCAGCCAGTGTTCAGGTTCTGGAACCATCATGAGAAAGAATTCAGGGATGAATCAGAATGAAGTGAAAGAAGCTTTTATCACAAAGGGGAAGTTCACACTTAAGAGGAGTGCAGGCATGCTGGCGAGAAAGTCGTGCCCAACAGACTTTGGGTTTCTAATTTTCTGAGTGTTTCTTTAGAGGGTGGAATAATGATTAAGTGTTCTGGAAAAGAGGGGATTGGGGGAACTATGGTTACCGCCTCCTTTGTTTCTGACTTGAGTTTGCCTGAAGAGTCATCGACATGTCACCCTGACGGGAACTTTCACCGTTTTCTCTTCCTCATTTTGGATTTTCTGTTATCCTGCGATTTCTTTACCTTGTTCCTGTTTTACCTGTTATTTAGGATTTTCCATCCTCCTGCAACCACACCATGCCATTCCTATCTCAATCACAAGAAGAAGGGTGAATAGTACCATAAGATATTTAGAGAAGTCATATTTGTATAACTTTGTATATTGTTCTAATTGTTCTATTTTAGCTATTGTTAATCTCTTACTGTGCCTAATTTATAAATTAAACTTCATCATATGAAAAATATAGTAAGCATACGATTTGGTACTAGCTGTGGTTTCAGGCACCCACTGGTGGCCTTAGAACATACTCCCTGCAGATAAGGGGGGAATACCATACAGTATTTTATAGTTGTTTTCACATGAAAACTACTATCTGGTAATTTGTGCAGGTACTAGTAAAGTCTTAGCCCCTTTTTTGCATACTACCTTGTTTACCTCAAGGAACTCCATGGAGATGAATATATTTAGCTATATGGACAGTTTAGATCTTAAGAGGAAACACACTATTGAAAATATTTATGTGATTTTTGTTATATCAGACACTGTTTTGTTCCTGTGCTAAGTATACAGTTAGAATTGAATAAAGACAACCAGAATTCTTGGAACAGACTGGGTTATCTTAGACATTAACTTCATTTGGTAACATGGAATGTTACCTGTCAGCAAGCCAGTTAGCCAGAGGTAAACTGAAAGGATCTGATGCCCTGTACAGTTATCTCTAAATCAAGCACTTGGAAGTCAGGTCAGGTCTTCACCACAAGCAGGGCATGTCCAACACTACAGCCTGGTCCCCGGAGTCCTGATCCCAGTGGGAGTCCCAGGCATGGCTGGCCTTAGGTCTTGGAAACTTTTCCGTTTCTTATCCTACCTGTCCTTCTACTTCTTTTAGGCCTCCTTTATGGACTGTCTTCCCTGCTGCCTTTAAAAGACTGGTGTTGTCCACCAGGCAGAAAGGGTGGACAGGGTTTAGCTAGATACAGGAGCGTCTTTTATCCATAGCTGTAAGTGTTTGGAGACCTGAAGGAAAATCCCATCGCCTGACTCAGAGACATGGGTCCAAATGAGGACCTAGGAGTCTGCCTGTAAGGATGGGGAAGGAGGACGAGCGAAATGAGAGCGAGGAGAAACAGCAGGGACAGTGGGCACCTGTGTGAACTGGAGTATTCAAAAAGAGCTCTCCAGAGAAACAGAACTAATAGTATCTCTGTTTCCACATCCCAGTCTGTAAGCTACACACATGAGGATCATCCTACATGCTTTCCTCTCAACATCCAAATCAAATTGATTAGGTCCCATTAATATTACCCTCCATATACCTCCAGTCCCACCGCTCTTCTCAAGGTCTATTTTGAGTGTATCAGTCTAGCTCCTTGTTTCTTGCCTCTGCTTTTACAATAGCTCCCAACTTATTTCACATTTCTCCTTTCAAGTCATCGTTTTCTCTTCCACCAAATATTTCATGCAATTTTCATATCACTGCCTCAATTCACAATGGCCAACAATACCTTTGTAGCTTCCAGGATAAACACCAAAACCTTTCCATGGCACAGAGAGCCCTCTGTGGTCAGGACCCCAAGCTTCACGCCCTGACATATGCCACATTGCATCATGCATACATCTATCCCAAACATTCACGTGGTTTTCAACCCAGTGTGCTGATTCACACACTTGTGCCTTTGCCTAGGCTATTCACGCTATTTCCTCACCAGTGTTCTTCTGCGTTACCCACACTGGTCTACCTGATTCATTCCTACCAATTCTGTAAAAGCCAGCTTAAGCAGCATCCTGTGTGGAAACTCCACCATCTAGCAAAGCTGATCTTTCCTATTTTTCCTGCCGTTGCTCCTAATGCATGTCTCAGAGCATTTATCTCATTTTATCACAAGCATTGTTTTGTGTATCTTACATCTTTGCCACTCAGCATTTCGAACAATCCTTGTCACAAAGTACATGCTTATTAAATGCATGATGATTTAGTAAATCAATAAACTAATCAGTGTTGGTATCCGAAAGCATTACTCATACCTTTAAACTGATACCTAACAAAACTGTGTTCACTTTGAAATTAATCGTTGTAGGATTTAATTCATTTTGAAATTCCTTAGATACCTTAAATATTTTTCCCTCATTTTCTCCTTCCAGTTTTTAAAGCTGTATCTAGAATATAGTCTCAATGTAATTCATTTACTACAAATTTATCTCACTAAATTAGAAGATTAGGTATAAAAATATTACTATAGTTATTATTTAGAAACAAATGAAATAAAATATTTGAGCAAGCTTTATTTTATATATACTACTCCTCACCCTGCATAAGAACTTTTAAAATCAACTTTCTAGGTGGGGTGCAGTGACTCATGCCTGTAATCCCAGCACTTTGGGAGGCCAAGGCCATCAGATCACCTGAGGTCAGGAGTTTGAGACCACCCTGGCCAACATGGTGAAACCCTGTCTCTATTAAAATTACAAAATTAGCCAGGCATGGTGGCACATGCCTGTAGTCTCAACTACCCGGGAGGCTGAGGCAGGAGGATCACTTGAACCTGGAAGGCAGAGGTTGCAGTGAGCCAAGCTGGAGCCATTGCACTCCAGCCTGGGCAAAAAGTGCGAAATTGTCTCAAAAACACATTAAAACGTAAAAATCAACTTTCTAAATTGTTTATAAGACTTGGTAATAAAGTATCAGGTAACAACTTATATTGGGAAATTCAGCTGCTTATTCCACTGCAATAGAACAGCAAACTTTTCTGTGAAAGGTAAGGATAAATATGTTAGTGTTTGAAGGCCATTTCACATACTATCCCTGGCAAATAAGCTTGTGTCTGTGTGTCCGCACATATGCATTCATACCTGAGCTATATAACCCTTAAAAGGTGTAAAAATCGACCAGGCACAGTGGCTTACACCAGTAATCCCAGCATTTTGGGAGGCCGAAGCAGGAGGATCACAAGGTCAGGAGTTTGAGACCAGCCTGGTCAACTTGGTGAAGCCCCATGTCTACTGAAAAACTACAAAAAAGGCCGTGCGCGGTGGCTCATGTCTGTAATCCCAGCACTTTGGGAGGCCAGGGCGGGCAGATCACGAAGTCAGGAGATCAAGACCATCTTGGCTAACATGGTGAAACTCTGTCTCTACTAAAAATACAAAACAATTAGCCGGACATGGTGGTGGGCACTTGTAGTCCCAGCTACTCGGGAGGCTGAGCCAGGAGAATGGTGTGAACCCAGGAGGCGGAGCTTGCAGTGAGCCAAGATTGTGCCACTGCACTCCAGCCTGGGCGACAGAGTGAGACTCCGTCTCAAAAATGTATTATAATATAATATAATATAATATAATATAATATAATATAATATAAAAATTAGCCGGGCATGGTGTTGTACGCCTGTAATCCCAGCTACTTGGGAGACTGAGGCAGGAGAATTGCTTGAACCCAGGAAGTGGAGGTTGTAGTGAGCAGAGATCGAGCCACTGCACTCCAACCTGGGTGACAGAGCAAGACTCTGCCCCCCCTCAAAAAAAAAAGTGTAAAAATTCTTAGTTTGCAGGCTGTTTAAAAAAAAAAAAAAAAAAAAAAAAAAAGACCATACTGACCAGAAAGGATTTTACCCACAAGGCATGTTTTGCTGATCTTTGTTCTATAACAGTTTTTTGTATTCCCCTAATTATTTTGCTTTAATCCATTTTCATCAAGTTAATTTTTGGGTGAGTATTAAATAGTCCATTCTTACATGAGTATTAAATACTCCATTCTTACTTGCACATCAAGTAATGTCAATTCAATTAAATTGTTTGAGTCTCAACAATCATTAATTAACGTACAACTTTTCGTATTTATTGTACCATTGAAAGCTTCTAAAGGTAAAATCAGCAAGCTGAAGGGGAGGATGTAGTCTCAAGTGACCCCAGTTTTTAAATGTAAGAGATTTGGGGGAAAGAGGAATTATATATCAGAAGTGGTCAACACACATTTCTTATTTACCATAAAATATCTCCATCTTCCTTCTCAAGTGTTCCTTTGTTAACTAAAATTGTACTGAAATTAAAAACCAATGAAAGAAGATCAAGTTTTCTGGGGGAGAGAGAATTCACTTGAGTGTCCTATGACACACTGTGGTGGAGATATGCAGGTGATAGATGAATGTCACTATCTTTAGACAAAAGAGTGGTGTCACTGAAGATATCTTGGGAATCATAAGATAGAGGTGATATTTTAAAAACCAAGAGAGAAAATGACCCAGAAAAAGGGCATAAGAGGAAAAGGAAAAGAATCAAGCACGAAGACAATCTTGGAAGAATACAGGAGTGCTCTATTTTTGGCTTTGCCATGCAAGGTGTCACCCACAACGCAATAAGACAGTCATGGAGGCAATGACTTGCTCTCCACAATTAGGAAAAACTCAACTGGCCCATATGTCTCCAGCATATGCTCTAAAAGGCCGATTAGTAAGGGGAATGTGAAAGTAGGAGCGAAACCATCCAACATTTGTTTATCTAAATGTCACTGGCATTTAAGAAAGCTGAATGAAATGACAACTGCTATTCTCTGTGGACACCTATTGCAAAAAAGTTTTGGTTTATCTAGATAGAATGTCACTGGTTAATTATAGTGCTTTGTCTCCACTTATAGCTATGCACAATATGCAAAATAAACTGCAAAATAAACATTCACTGAATAAGAGGACTACCTTGATTTCTACTGGTACTATGAGAACTGGTTCAGCTCTTTTTTTTTTTCTTTTTGTGTCCATATAAAAATACACCTGGTAGTCTTCAAGTAATTTTTATTAAGATTCTTTATACAGTGCTTTCTTTTACACCCAAGTCAATGTTCTTCATAATCACTAGTTGTTAATAACTAATTGTTAACTTTTTGATGTTCTCTAGGGTTAGCTGCTTTTGCCAACTTAGGCACAGTTCAAAAATATAGAATATAAAGTATATTTTAAAGAAACAATTGTTTAATGGAAACTCACCTAAATAGATTTTTTTATAATTGCTAAACTCACACCTTCTTGTCCAACAGTGTATTTTATTCAGGCCCGAAAGAATGCTTCAGGTTAAGATTGAATGAAAATGTAAGAGGTGATTCGATTCATGTTCATCTTTTACCAAAGCTGACAATT